TTGCTCAATTTCCTAGTTTTATAGAGGTTAACGAGAGGCAAAAGGGGATTACAGACATAGATTTTTATATTTTATTGATTTTCTTTTTTGCACACCCCATACTGGGGAGGTGCCGCAACCAAGGTACATGCCCTTGACAGGAATCGAACCTGGGACCCTTGAGTCCGCAGGCTGATGCTCTATCCACTTGAGCCAAACCAGCTTCGGCAGTCATAGATTTTTAAAAATCACAGGTTCCACACCGTCTATTCAGTTCAACTCTGTACTTGTTTTTTTCCCCCCTAGAACCTTGGCTTCCCAGCCTTGACTTCCAGTTTGACATGTCTTTCAAAAGGAGGATGGGATGACCATCATGGTGGCCAATGACAATAAGTAGCATTTGGAACAAAGGGGCACTGACTTGAAGGGGCGAAGAGAAGTAGGGAGTAGGGAGGAAGGTGGAAAGTGTTATTCAGGCTAAAACAATAGTTTTCAGAGGGCCAACCACCAAGTCTAAGCAGGGTCCAAGTGATAATGGAGAAAATAAAATGAAATAAAGATCGCTAAGAGAGTCTCTTAAAATAGAGTCAGAAGACTATTAAGGAGTGAGGCTTATGAACATTTTGGGTCTCAGTTCTCAGAGCTGCATTTATGTTGCTAAGCTACCAAAATGGCTGAGCTATAAGCATCCTGGAGCTGAAAACATCTTGGAACAACTGCTACTTGGACACATGTACTAGTAGACTTTACTTCTTTCCTTGTAGTTTCTGCTCCTCTCATTTACATGTTGGAACTAATCAATTCCTGTGAACGTAGCTAGCAATACTTTATTTGTATGAAGGAATTATATTTTGTAGGGGTCTCCTCCTCCCCCCCCCCCCCCCCCCCCCGCTCTCCTCCTCCTCCAACTCCTTCTTCTTTTAACTCTCTCCAGAGTGCAGTTTGGGTTGTTACCTGAATCTGTGTCTATCTGATTGCAATCTTTTTGCTCAAATAAATACTTTTTCTTCAGCAATGTTATTCATGCTAAAACAATAAGTCTTAAAAGGGAAATGATCAAGTCTAAGCAGGGGTCAAGCAAATCCAGTTCTTTATCAAAAGGCATCTAGACCCAAGTAGAAACTAATAGGAGTAAAGTGGGGAGGGGAATATTACATGAGTTGAAATCTGGTTTTGACTTCACCCTTGACATAAAATACAATTTGGGCCGAAACTGATTTGACTCATTGGATAGAGCATCAGCCTGCGGACTGAAAGGTCCCAGATTCGATTCTGGTCCAGGGCATGTACCTTGGTTGCGGGCACATCCCCAATAGGGGGTGTGTAAGAGGCAGCTGATCAATGATTCTCTTTCATCAATGTCTCTAACTTTCTATCCCTCTCTCCTTCTCTCTGTAAAATATCAATAAAATATATATATTTTAAAAAAGAAATACAATTTGGGGCAAATTATTTAATTGTCAGGTCCTTAGTCAGAGTCTTATAGTCTCTGGTTGGAGCAAGTCTTCATTTCAAAGATTTACAATCATATTCTTCATCTTAAAGAACTGGAAAACAAAGTATCAATTCAAAATGGAAATATAAAAATGGATCTTCTTTCTTCGTAGAATGTTTATAACACAATTGCTTAGATCCTGCTGTTAAATCAAAATCCTATGTTATTTCAGTCTATTGATACAGCAGTTACATATTTCACTGTGTGACATCATTACAGTGTGGGAATAAGACATTTAAGGGCTCCTCAATGATGGTTGATGATAACTAGGTGCTTTTCTCAGAACACCCTTCTTTTAAAAAAAAATTTTTTTTAAATTAATTTCAGAGAGGAAGGGAGAGGGAGAGATAGAAACATCAATGATGAGAATCATTGATTGGCTGCCTCTTGCACATCCCCTATTGGGAGTTGACCTGGCCAGGAATCTAACTTGACCTCCTGGTTCATAGGCCAATGCTCAACCAATGAACCACACTGGCTAGGCTCTCAGAATACCCTTTAACATGTAGTATACTACATCTGTGAACCATACTCAAAAGAAATGTTGTTTACTTGCAATTCAAATATTAAATGGCCAAGAAATGCATATACTTTCAAAACATTCCTCCTCTCAAAATTCACAGTGCCTGAATTGTTTTGAAATCTGTTATATTTTTTTATGTTGATAATGCTGTTTTCCTAGGCATCTGAATTTGAATTCAACCTTTCTGCTTAAAGCTTGCAATGAAGTTAAAATCCTGTGACTCTTATTTTAGTCTGGAGTAGTTACATATTTCACATTTTACTTCAGAATAGAAGAAAATTAAAAACAAAAAACAGGGCCTCAAAATTACACACTGATCACTGGTGACAAGTACTCTGTTTTATAAATGTAGAAAAATCTTTGAAAATATTGTATGGACACTTTGATATCACCAACTATGAATATCACCCAAGGATATTTTTTCCATTGATTTATGGTGGTTTTTGTGGTGTTTTTTTGTTTTTTTAAAGAGACTGGAAGGGAGTTGGGGTGGAAGAGGTGGGGATGGGGAGGAGAGAGAGAGAAACTTATTGATGTGAGAGAGACACATCAACTGGTTGCCACCTGCACACACTCTGATTGGGGCCAGGATATAACCTGCAACCTAGTAGTGCTCTTGACTGGGAATTGAACCCAAGATCATTCGTTGCAAGGGCCAACACTATAACCACTGACCCATACCAGTCAGGGCTTGGCATCTATTTTCAATTCCTTTCATGCAGTCAGAATGCTAGACTTGAGAGGGATCTTCAAGGTCATCTGATCCAACCTACTCATTTCATAAAGAAAGACACTAAAGACCAGAGAAGGCAAGGTACTCCAGTCATGTGGGAAATTATTGGTATAGCATTTCTGTTAGGTTCAGAGAGGCAAAGGGTCAAATACAGGCTAAGGAAGGAGGGATACAGACATAAGAAGGTGAGAGTCAATGGAGGGAGCTTTCAGGGTGACTCCATGTTTTATGTTTCAGGAACCACAGCAGGCACTGGAGACAGAGAGAAAAGACAGAACCTTAACTCCTGACACACTGGTCAGTAAAAAGTGATGAGAACAAAGAAAGTTAAGCAGGAAGAGGCTTCCCAGAGAAAATGTTATTTGATTGACTCTCCCAGGAGGCAATGAGGAGAGCATATGCAAAGGGGTGGAGTTGTCAGAGAGATGGCTCACCTGGGGGCCCCTCAAGTGGCCTGGATATAGGATGAGAGGAAGCTGTGGCAAGGGTTGGAACTGGGAGGTTGGCTGAGGTCAACTCATGAAGGGTCCTCAATGCTATGGATGGGGATTTGGAATTTACCTTTCAGAGTGGGGCCTTTTATTTGGTTTTACATAATAGGATTAGATTAGTATTTTAGAAATATTATTCTGGGATCAAAATAGAAGATGGATAAATTGGAACAGAGGCAGTGAAACCTGTCAGAGGGTTATGACAATGCACTAGGCAAAGGGTGATGAGAGTGTGAACTGAGAATGGGGAGCTGGAGATATATGTGAATGGAGAAAAGGAGCCTGGATGAAGAACTCTGGGAGGAAGGCTCTAGAACTTGAGAATGAACTGGATATGGAGGTGGAGGACTGCTGGTAGACACTCCTCCCCGGGCCTCTCGCACTCCTAAATGTCTTGGAATATCAAGAATGCAAGGCCCTGACTGTCATTTCTCCAAGTTTTGTTTATAGCAGTGTTTCCCAAACTTCTCTCATGATGAGAATCACCTGGTGGAATTGTTAAAATACAGATTCCTGAATCCCAACTAGGAAGTGCTAAACTAGAATTTTTGGGAACATAGAGGTAAAATTGTATACTTAACTAGTGCTCTAAGAGCACTAGTTAAGTATACAATTTTAACAACTCCACCAGATGATTCTCATCATGAGAGAAGTTTGGGAAACCCTGGTTTATTGGAAGGAAAACTTTAGTAATTCAGTACTCTCTCCCTTTGGGACCAAGAGCAGGCTTGTTTACTGCTTACTATAAAAGCAGTGGATTCTCTGGCCTCATAGTTCTTCAGCTATGACACAGACCCAAGGTGTGTGAGGTATTTATCTGGGCCTTCTGCATCACTCCTGTCAGACAAGGCAGGCAAGGAGAACCATCACAAACATGATGCTCGTGCTTCACCGTGAGTAATAAAGTTCTTTGTCTCTGACCCCAGACTTGCATCTTTTACTGTGAAACTGTAGTATCTTCTATGCCATAAATAACAGGCTAAGTTATTATATTGCAAATTGGGAGAAACCAAATTCCAGACCCAACAGAGAGAAGGAAGAGGTCTGGTTTAAGTGACTTGGAGTGAAGTGGAACTTGGTGTTTCACTAGAGCAGTGGTCGGCAAACTTGTTAGTCAACGGAGCCAAATATCAACAGTACAACGATTGAAATTTCTTTTGAGAGCCAAATTTTTTAAACTTAAACTTCTTCTAACATCACTTCTTCAAAATAGACTCGCCCAGGCCATGGTCTTTTGTGGGAGAGCCACACTCAAAGGGCCAAAGAGAGAGCGATAGAAACATCAATGATGAGAGAGAATCATGGATTGTTTGTCTCGTGCACGCCTCCTACTGAGATCAAGCCCGAAACCCGGGCATGCACCCTTGACCAGAATCGAACCTGGGACCCTTCAATCTGCAGGCTAATGCTCTATCCACTGAGCCAAACTGGCTAGGGTGATTTATTTTCTTTAGAGAGAAAGAAAGAGGAAGGGGGAGAGTAAGAGGGTGGGAGAAAAGAGAGAGAGAGAGAGAGAGAGAGAGAGAGAGAGAGAGAGAGAGAGAGAGAGAGAGAGAGAGAGAGAGGGAGAGGGAGAGAGAGAAAGAGAGAGAGATGAGATTTGTTGTCCCACTTATTTATATGTTCACTGGTTGATTCTTGTATGTGCTCTGACTGGGGATCAAACCCACAACCTTGGCATATCAGGATGATGCTCCAACTGTGCTACCTGGCCAGGGCAATACCTTTTTTCCCCTTTCAGGCATGGATGCAACTAATAAAATAGCTCTGGTCACTTACCCGGTCATTCAAAAGCTTATGATTTAAGGGTGTCCAAGTACTCATCTTTGTCTGCATTTTGGGACCATCCGTGCTTTTAGGAGGTGCAAACGCCATCATGAAATGACTGGGTATTCTTCTATAAGAACAACTATACCTGTCAGAAGAAATGAATCACGCAATATTCAGACTATTAGAAATACCAATACCATACAATATTTTAGTATGTTGAGAGAAGGGAATGAAGGGAAGAACACTTACTGGGAGCTTTATATGTATGCTCAATTAAAGTTCATAACAATCTGGTGAGGTGGTAAGTTTTAACTTATTACATAGATAAAGAAAATGAAGCTCATTCAAGTTACCTGCTCTGCTCATAATTATACAGATTGGAACTGGAAATCAAACTCAACTCTAACTCTATTTTCATTGGACCACAGAAAAATCAAGAATCAAATCACTCCTAACTAAGAATATACCATATTGGCTAGAAAGAAGAGATATTTTAATTTATATAATCATAGTGCAATATGAAACACTCCATCCTTGTCCGGTGTGATTGCCTTCCTCCCCCTTTAACTTCCTGACATCTAAATAACAAGTGTTCTAGCTTGATACCATATTTAAGATGTAGAGTGATATAATACCCAACACTAAGCTTTTAGAGATGGACAGCTTTGAGTTTATTGAGGGAAATGTGCTGTATTTATTTATTTATTTATTTATTTATTTATTTATTTATTTATTTATTTTATTGATTTTTTTACAGAGAGGAAGGGAGAGAGATAGAGAGCTACAAACGTTGATGAAAGAGAAACATCGACCAGCTGCCTCTTGCACACCCCCCACAGGGTATATGCCCGCAACCAATGTACATGCTCTTGACCGGAATCGAAACTGGGACTTTTCAGTCCACAGACCGACGCGCTACCACTGAGCCAAACCGGTTTTGGCAAAATGTGCTGTTTTTAAATGCTCAGTATATGTTTGCCTTCGTTTGACGAAAGCACTGTAATTTCCATGAGGAATTGCCTTTCCCTCATTGTTTAGAGTTTGCTAGGTTGGTTAATCAAAGTGGCCTCCCCTTCCCTGGTCACAAGTCGGAGCTAGGCCAGTTGAGATTGATGCTGGCTTATCCTTACTTTACAGCTGAGGTGGACGCTCAAAGTAGCACTGGTACTCTGCTAGGCTGTTCCTGCTGCCTCATCCCTCAGAAGCCTCTTGTCTTGTCCATTTTGTGAGTCACAGGACATCTTTGCAATAAATTTCCTCTTTTGCTTACATTAGCTAGGATCTGTTTCTATTATTTACAACCAAAATAATATGGGTTTACCTCATCTGGGTTTGATTCTGATTCTTACCTCATATGGGTTTGATTCTGGTTCTACAACTTAGTAACTGAATAACTTTTTGCAACTTTTTAAATCTAGCTGAGCTTCAGTGTCCTCATTTTTCAAATAAGGCTGTATCCTATATAATAAAGAGGTTATATGCAAATTAACCCTCATGCCATCACAAACTGGGAAGGGGAGTTAATGAGGGATGACCAAACGACTGAACAGCAGGTTGTGTGGGGCAACCAGGCCAGCAGGAGGGCTGTGAGGGGTAGCCAGGCTGGTGGGGAGGCAGTTGAGGGTGACCAGACAGGCAGGCAGGGTAGTAAGAGGCAACCAGGGGGAGAGGGGAAGTTAGGGGAGACCAGGCAGGCAGGAGGGTGCAGTTGGGGGTGATTAGGCTGGTGGTGGGGACAGTGAGGGGTGACTAGGCTGGTGGGGTGCAGTTGGGGGTGACCAGGCCAGAGGGGAGGGCACTTAGGAACGACCAGACTGGCAGAGGGGGCAGCTGGGAGCGAACAGGCCAGCAGAGGGGAGCAATAAGGGGTGACCAGGCTGGGGTGGGGGTCAGTTAGGAGTGATCAGGTCGGCACACAGAGGCAATGAAGAGTGATCAGGCTGGCGGGGGTAGGGGGGAAGCAGTGAGGGGCAACCAGGCAGGCAGGCAGGTGAGCAATTAGGAGCCAGCAGTCTAGGGTGTGAGAGTTATGTCCGACTGCCGGTTGGAGAGGGTGCAGGCTGGGCTGATGGACATATCCCCCGTCAATGCATGAATTTCATGCATCAGGCCCTCGTGTGTGTGTTTGTGTGTGTGTGTGTGTGTGTGTGTGTGTGTGTGTGTGTGTGTGTGTACCTACACTAGGTGTGCGGAACCTTTTTCTGCCAAGGGCCATTTGGATATTTTATTTTTTTATAATACATTTTTTATTGATTTGAGAGAGAGAGAGAGAGAGAGAGAAGAGAAGAGAAGAGAAGAGAAGAGAAGAGAAGAGAAGAGAAGAGAAGAGAAGAGAAGAGAAGAGAAGAGAGAGAGGAAGAGAGAGGGAGAGGGAGAGAGAGAGAGAGAGAGAGAGAGAGAGAGAGAGAGAGAGAGAGAGAGAGAGAAAATATCAATGATGAGAGAGAATCATTGATCAGCTGCCTCCTGCACATCCCCTACCGGATATGTGCCCTTGACCGGAATCTAACCTGGGACTCTTTAGTCCGTAGGCCAATTCTCTATTCACTGAGCCAAACCAGGTAGGGCTAGATATTTATAACGTCATGCATGGACCATACAAAATCAGCCTGCTATATTTGGTCAAACATTTATTTAAAACACCCCTAATGCCTTAGCAGGGCCAGACCAAATGATTTCACAGGCCTTATATGGCCCTCAGGCTGGACATTCCCTACCCCTATCTATATTCAACTGCCACTGTGAATGTTAGAGAATAAGGATCCAGTAGACAGCCTGACAGATAGGTGGCCTCAATAAGTAGTAACTTCCCATCATTCACAGAGTGCCTAAATACCTGTCCTTAGAGGGCCATGACAAAATATTTTAAGGTGGGAGACAGTTACAGCAGAGTGATGGTAGTGTCAATGTATATCCTCCCTGTTTCTGCCCTCTTTTCTCCCTGAAGGTGGGCTTCATATTGAAGGCAGTGGTGATGACTGAAGGGATCAGGGCTTGTCTGTCTGATCCACAGGTTCCAAAAATTACTCCATAGCAGCAAATATTGGACAACTAAAAAAATATAATCACTCGTTTTAGGCTTCTATTAGTATGGGGTTCCTCAAATGCTAGATCTGAAATGTTTGAGGCTCTCACTTGACAGGTAATACTATCCCTCAGCATTGGAGATTAGTTATAAGGTGAATATAAAGCCAATGTTTTCAAACCTCAGGGGTGTCATTAGACAATACCTTCTGGCAGTTGCCTGCTGCCATCAAACCACTGGAACAAAGGGGGCTCAGATCAATCCTCACATCCTTCTCAGCACCCAACAGCCAATTATCTAAGTCACACATATTTGGCTAACTTGCAAAGGCATAAGAAATGACTTCACTGCAGTATTATTAATTGGCAGCTATAAAAGTACATGTGAGTAGGCAAATTACAGATACAAAGCATGGTCACTGAGTCTAGAACTGCCTAGTTAAAAACTACATATTTCTTTCTTTTTAAAAAAATACATCTTATTGATTTTTTACTGAGAAGAAAGGAGAGGGAGAGAGAGTCAGAAACATCGATGAGAGAGAAACATCGATCAGCTGCCTCCTGCACACCCCCTACTGGGGATGTGCCCACAACCAAGGTACATGCCCTTGACAGGAATCGAATCTGGGACCCTTGATCTGAAGGCCGACGCTCTAACCACTGAGCAAACCCAGTTAGGGTTACATATTTCTTTTTTGTTGTTGTTGTTATTTATTTACATTTGACCTTCCTTCTTATTAAACCAGGTGTCTGTAATTTTTTTCTTTGAGGGTCAAATAACTCTTTGAGAATGTGATGAAAGTGATGAATTTTTCTCCCTAGAAAAATGCACATGAACATAAAATTTTGCTTACCCCAGGTTAAAAACTCCTGGTGTAAGCTGAGAAACTCTCTCTCTCTTCCCACTTTGTATAAGAAAAAAGCTAGGCAAAAAAAAAAATAAATAAATAAAAATAAAAATTTAATTAGGACAAAAGAGCTTTTCTAGGACCTCCCCAAGACTCCGCACTGCTTGTTTTTTCCCCCTGGTTCCTCAAAGCCAGAAATGATTTGAACAAGGATTCCTTCAAATCAACTTGAGGGAAATTAGTATTCAGGAGATGGGCCTGTCCAGGACAAACAGCCCTCTTGGTAATACAGTCCTGCTGAAGCATGAAAATGGGGTGTCCTACCCTGTCTTTTGGCACCATTCTTTTACAATTTTTCCTCCTCTCTTCATACCAGAAAACAGGCAAAGTGCATATCTGCATCCACACACATGTTCATGCTATAGACCATGCAGGGCTATTATAAAGACAGACACTTTTAGATAACATACACAAAAATAATTGCCCCCACTCCCATCAACAAGACAAAGCAAGTTGTTTTCCCCTCCTTCCACAGCTAAAGCTTGCTGATGCTATTTTTGTGACCTCCTTCCTCCTTAATGCCTGTTCCTGAATGTTTATCTTTAGTTTTTCTTTGGGGGGAAAAAATGGAAGAAAGAGGACCTATGGCCTTAGCCCCCAATGTATAGTTCTGTATCCATGTTTTGTTGTTGTTTTTGTTTTAAATATATTTTTATTGATTTTTTTCAGAGAGGAAGGGAGAAGGATAGAGAGTTAGAAACAACAATGAGAGACAAACATCGATCAGCTGCCTCCTGCACACCCGCCACTGGGGATGTGCCCGCAACCAAGGTACATGCCCTTGACCAGAATCGAACCCGGGACCCTTCAGTCCGCAGGCTGATGCTCTATCTACTGAGGCAAACTGGTTTCAGCTGTATCTATGTTTAACAGCAAGGATGTGTCCTCCTGTAAAGTTCTAGGGGCCATACATCTCTAATTTCATCTTCCAAGCCATTTTTCATACTGTCACCATTACTCAACTTTGCTTAGGACCTGTTAGGCCTGTATTAGAGGTACAAAAGTAAGGGTTTCTACTTTAATGGAGCTTAGAGTCCACTATTAAGAGAGTTTCCTCTTTAACAAATAAAAATTATATACATTTGATCTGTACAAGGTGATGTTTTGATATATGTATACATTGTGAAATGAACACTCAAACTATTTAATTATTCCATCACCCCCTATAGTTACCAT